GGCACAATGATATTTCATTATATTCACATGTGATAATTTGTTGGATAAATTGTCAAACCCCAATTGATAGGTAGTCTCTTAGCTTCTACTTCTGATCCTGGAGATGATGAGGGTCTGAACCAGGATGGTGGCAGTGTCAGAGGCAGGAAGGGGATGGACATGAAAGATACTGGGAAGGCAGAATCAAAAGGACTTGGCAATAGGTTGGATGTGGGACGATGGTGAAAAGTAAGGAGTGGAGAATGTTATCGTTGTTCATCCTTCTTTTTTGAAGAGGACCAATGACATCATGGAGTGATGTCTTGACTTGCCCATGAATTGGATTTGGGTGAGGCAGAGTTGCACAAAGTTTTCAGCCTCAGTCTCTCTTCCGGAATCATCAAAGTCCAGTTGCAAGACAAAAGACAAAATGAACAGCCATGGCCTGCGATGCAGTGGATGACCTTGGCATCTTTAATGTCTGACCAACCTCTCCACAGTGCCTGCTTCAGCTGCCTGCATGGCCATTGGAGCAAGTAGCTCTCATCTGCCCAGTCTGCCAGGAAAAGTCTTCACATGCTTAGGGTTGTGACATTTTAAAAGTTCAAGAGACATGGTTTCTGGGTAATTGATCATTTTATTAATAATGATAGCATATTATTAATAAAAGGGGTCAGTGACACTCTTGAATGCCAAAGACCCCTCATGGAATCCATTCAATCCTTATATGCCCTTGGAAGGGTGGGTGTTCCTGATGATGGCAATTGACTCTGATTGGTTAATAAGTAATGAGAGAAAATGAATATTATAATGAGGTGGACCTATTCTAATGAGGGGGGCTGGGGCAAACCTGACTTTGATCATGTCATTTACTTCCAAATTACCCTGGTCTTGGGCAATTTAATCAAAGAATTTATCCCCATCCAAACCTAAGTAGAACACAATGGGCAGGAATTCACCTAGATAAGATGATCTAGGTGAAGTAAATTTTTTGGCAGAGCTCAGTAACGTTCTTCAAAGGCTGGGCTTCTAACACTGAATGGGTCAGGGAAAAAACCTGAATCTCCCCCATAACTGGTTATTAATAATCATTTCTCTCAGGGTAGACATCCCCATAACTCACTAACTGGTCTGACGTCCGTCGGTTACTTTCAACTGGTTTAGCCCATCTGTGGAATTGGCTTTACAGCTTCTAGGAGCCACGGGTGAGAGTTAGGTGACAAGTGGACACCAACAGTGGATGAACAGCCCTGAAAAGGGCTCAGCAAACCCTCACATCAGAGGTGCTAGTTAGTCTTCCCTGAGCACCTCATCCATGCCAATGAAGGATGACACCTGGCTTGAAAGCCTGGGTGACTGATAGGGTGGCAGTTCCCTTGACAGTAATAGGGGAGTTAGAAAGAGGAGAGGGACTGAAGGGACAGGGGAAAACAAAATATTCAGTTCACTTTTGGACACGTTCAATTTGAGGTGTTAGTGCAATATCCAGTTCAAGATGTACAATAGGCAAGTAAGACTGGAGGTCAGGAGAGGTTAAGGATGGATAAAATAGATCTAAGAATCATGTGCTTCTTTCCTCCCACATTTCCTTCAGTACTTGTCATTTTCCTTTCTGGGCTCCTAGTTTTGTCAATATGATAGGTGTGACATAGATATTTCTATTATTTTTCTTAGTAATTAATATAGACCAAATGTTTTATATATTATATATGATATGGTGTATTATATATATTATATGCATATTATTATACATTTATATTTATAATTTTATACATTATATACATATTGTTATACATATATTATTATACATGTTATATACATTATATATATTATATACATATAATACACCATATGTAATAGAATGTTCCAAAGAGCGATCTGGAATTGCCTTGGCAATTGGTGCTCTGGGCTGCACTGGGGAGGAGTCAGCTGGATGGTTCAAGAGCGAGGATTCAAGAAGAGGAAGTCCTAGCTGATGGTATCTATTAGCAGCTGCAAGAGTGTGATTTCTTTGATTTTACTATTAACTCCCAGCACAAGTCAGTTGGCTTCTGTGATGAATGCCTGCAGCGTGAATGCAGTTTCACGAATGTCCCTGTCAACATCACAGACTCCAGAGTCAGATGTCATTACCACACATCCTCTAGCACACAAGATACAGGCATTCCATCCAAACAAATGTTGCTCAGTTATCCAAGAGCTGATACAGTACTCGGAATCTTCCCCGGTTTCCTGGAGATCATCAGAGCTGTCAACAATCTCAGCTAATTCCTAGCCCTGGCTCAGGAAGGGCAATTCTTTAGGCATGTGAACCCTGAGGCTGATATCTTTCACAAGTCTTTTTTTCAAAGGAAAAGATCCTAATACCTGCTATAAATCATGGTCCAGACACAACCATCAGACTATTTATGGAAGTGGATTGGTTATACTGAGAAGGGAGCCCAAAATGTGCCTGGGGAACCGACAAGAGAAGAAAGGAGAGCTAATGCTTTTGACATTGTCATTCAGTCAGTCAATAAGCATTTATTAAGCACCTACTAAGCGCCAGGCACAGTGCTAAGCCTGTCGTTGTTGTTGTTTGTCCTTCCTTCTCAAAGAGGACCTTGACGTCAGGAAGGTGATGCCCTGACTTGCAAATGAATTGAATTTAAGTGAGAGAAGGCTGTGCAAAGTCACCAGCCTCACTTTCTCCTCTGGAGCCATCTGGGTCCAGTGGCCAGATATAGATCAGGACTGGAGACGGCCCCTGCTAAGCCTGAGGATACAAAGAATGGTGGCAAAAGACAGTCCCTGCCCTCAAGGAGCTGACAGTCTAATGGGGGAGACAACATGTAAACAACAATAGTGTTGTGCCTCCTTTTCCAAAGAGGGCCAATGACATCACAGATGATGTGTTGATTTGCATGTATATTAGATTTAAGCGAAGCAGAGTTGCACAAAGTCGTCAAACTCTCTTCCTGAGTCATTGAAATCCAGTGGCAAGACAAAAGTCAAAGTGACCAGCCATGGCAGGGGATGCAGTACCTCGGCATCTTCTATGCCTGACCAAGATCCTAAGTGCTCCACAACACCTACTTCAGTTGCTTTCATGGCTGTTGGAACAAATTGTTCTCATCTGCCCATACCACTGGGAGAAGACTACACATGCTTGGGGCAGGAATCCCCCTAACTCACCAAAGGTGGATACCCTCAACCTGCTATAGCCCATCTGCCTGAGATAATTTGCCGAGGTATGCCTCCCGCACGTGCTACAGCTTCTTGGAGCAAAGGTGAGAATTAGGTAATAGGTGAACACAAAAGGTAGATGGGCAGCCCTGAAGAGGGATCAGCAAGCCCTATACACCCCAGACAAAATATAGACAGATTAAACTGGAGATAATAGAGGGAAGGTATTAGAATTAAGAGGAAGTAGGAAAAGGCTTCCTTTCCAAGGTGGGGTTTTAGCTAGGACTTAAAGGAGACCAGGGAAACCATGAGACAGAGAGGGGGAGGGAGATCGTTCCAGATAAGGGAGATGAACAGTGAAAATGCCCAGAGTCTAGAGAAGGAGTATCATGTATGAGGAACAGCAAGGAATCACAGAGAATATGGAGGAGATTAAGGTATAAGAAGACTGGAAAAGTAGAAAGCGACCAGATTACAAAGGGCTTCGAATGTCAAACAGAGGATTTTACGTTTGATCCCAAATATAACAGGGAGCCACTGGAGTTTATTGATGGAGTGTTGTGTGAGAGGCCAATGTCACTGGATCACAGAGTATGTGGAAGGAGTAACCTGTAAAAAAGACTGGAAAAGTAGGAAGGGGCCAAGTTACAAATGGCTTTAAATGCAAAATAGAGGATTGTACATTTGATCCTTGATGTAATAGAGAACCATTAGGGAAAGTTGGTGAAGAGCATTTGCCTCGGTAGGTAACCAAGGGAAGCTAGTACAACACCAAATAGAAGCAACATAAAGTAATAGAATGAGGACTAGACTTGGCATCGGGAAAAATCTGGGTTCAAATCCTCATAAGATCCTTTCTAGTTCTAAATCTATGATCCCATGACCTGGTGATACTCAAAATGAGTTTCCCAAAAGACTATGATTTTTATTTAGTTCCTTAATAATTTGTTGTTGTTCCGTCATTTTCAGTCATGTCTGACTCTCCGTGACCCAATTTGGGGTTTTCCTGGCAGAGATACCAGAGCGGTTTGCCATTTCCTCCTCCAGCTCATTTTACAAATGAGGAAACTGAGGCAAACAAGGTGAAGTGACTTACCAAGAGCCACACAGCTAGTAAGTTTCTGAGATGGGATTTAAACCGATGAAGATGAGTCTTCCTGATTCCACGCTGGTTGCTCTATCCACTGTACCTTCTAGCTGCCCTGCATACACAATGATTACAATAAAGTAAATAAAGACAATACAAAAAGGGAACAAAATCCAGGTCCAGTACAGCAGACACTGCCAGTACCATACGTTCAAAGTTTAAAGATCTCTCTTTTCTTTCTGTTCACAATTGGCAAACAGCAGAAGTTGAAACTGATGACCAAACACCATGACATACTAGGTGGTTCATTCAGCGTTTAGAGGCACATATTTTGGGTAAAGTATCTCGTGCCCAATAACATTTCATTCGTACATTTTGTTTTAAGTCAGAAACTGTTTAGTTTTGTTTAAAAATAGATGCCAGAGGAGGTTTACTCTGGCCAGTCAGCCCTTGCCACCAGCCTTGCTGCTCAGACCAGACAGTCAGCTGATATCATTTCCCCAAATCTTCTCCCCCTTATCTTTGGCCAAGGACAGGCGGAGATAAAAGAGCTGCTTGGCGGTGAGCTCTGGACAAGTCTGAGCTGGTCTCCCAAGTTGTCCTCTGTCTGTCACCCAACACTCATTCCTCTATCAGGAACATTTTGCTGCTCTCAAGATGAACGGCTCTTACCACATAAACAACAGGTTATAATGGGATGGAACGAAATACCACTGGAGCCATCTGTAAAGTAGGGACCCCGGATGCTCTCAGACCCCTACCCTTGCTTCTGTGGGAGGCCGGCGCTCACCATGCGCCCCGGCTCAGGATGGGGAACACCATCCGGGCCCTCATTGCCTTCGTCCCTGCCAACGACTGCCAGAACTACCTCCTCGGAGACCTCCAGGAGATGCCATTGGACAAGATGGTGGACCTGAGCAGCAGCCAGCTGCGAAGGTTCCCCTTACATGTGTGCTCCTTCAAGGAGCTGGTAAAGCTCTACCTGAGTGACAACAATTTAAACAGCCTGCCCCCGGAACTGGAGCAGCTGCAGAACCTTCAGATCCTGGCCTTGGATTTCAACAATTTCAAAGCCTTGCCTCCGGTGGTGTGTACGCTGAAGCAACTTTGCATCCTCTACCTAGGGAACAATAAGCTGCGTGACCTGCCCTTGGAGCTGAGCTTGCTGCAGAACCTCAAGACCCTCTGGATAGAGAATAACTGTCTGGCCCAACTGCCCGAGGTCGTCTGTGAGTTGAGCCTGCTCAAAACCCTGCATGCTGGCTCCAACGCCCTGCGCCTACTCCCCAGGAGACTGAGTGGCCTCCAGGAGCTGAGGACCATCTGGCTCTCGGGCAACCTGCTGACCGATTTCCCCCCGGTGCTGCTCCACATGCCCTTCCTAGAAGTCATCGATGTGGATCGAAACAACATCTCCTACTTTCCCAGCCTGGCTCACCTGTCAGGCCTGAAGCTGGTCATCTATGACCACAATCCATGCCGGAATGCCCCTAAGGTGGCGAAGGGGGTACGGCGAGTGGGGAGGTGGTCAGAGGAAACCCCCGAGCCTGATCCCAGAAAAGCCAGGCGGCTTCGGATGGCCAAGCTGGAGGCTGATGAGGTCCCGGCACCGGCTCCCCCGGCCCCTCGTCTTCCTAATTCTGAGAAACTTGACTAGGGCCTTCCCTCTGTGATGATCTGCACGCTTTGAGCCTTTCTATAGCTTGTTGGTACATAGCTGTTTGCATGTTGTTTCCCCCATTAGACTGTGAGGTCCTCAAGGGCAGCGATGGTCTTTTGCCTGTCTTTGTACCCTCAAGCACTTAACCCGGTGCCTGGCACATTTTTGTTGTTCAGTTGTCTGAATAATGTCCGGCTCTTCCTGTCCCATTCAGTGTCTTCTTGGCAGAGATACCAGAGTGGTTCACCATTTCCTCCTCCAGCTCATTTTTACAGATGAGGAAACTGAGGCAAACAGAATTAAGTGACTTATTCAGGGTCACAAAGCTAGTAAGTGTCTGTGGTCAGATTTGAACTCAGGTCTTCCAGACTCCAGCCCAGCACTCTATCCACTGCGACACCTAACCTCCCCCGACTGGCATATAGTAAGCGCTAATAAATGCTCGTTGGCTGACTTCACTTTGGACCCAACTACAACACACTCTTGATTGTAACGAATATTCCTTTCCTGAACAATTTCTCCCACATAAAGGAACATGTGGGAAACAACTCTTGTGCTCATTCAGAACAAAATGGAATATCCAGCAACTAGCCTTTCTCACAACTACCCCCACCACTCTCAACTCCAGCGAACTGGAAAAAATAAATATAACATTACTCGATCTCATTTGTTACCTTAGGATTTTGCAGTCCTGAAGCAAAGAAGTCAGAAATGTACTCTGAGAGCACAGACTGTGTCGTATTTATTTAGCTTTGTGTACCTAGCATCTAGCGAAATGCCTTACACATAATGGTGCTTAATAAATCCTCAGGAGAGTTGAATTTAATTCTCTCTGGAGAGTGTACTTTAAAAGGGGAAGCTGCTTTGTGTTTTAACAGATAAAATCATCACTTCTCAACAGGACAGCCTGTTTCTTACTTCAATGGAATGATGGTGTTGACAGTGTTCACATTCATCTCTCCGGGGGAGATCACAATCTACGTGCTTTCTCATCCTAGGTGTCCTTCCAATCAATCTTCCATGGAGCATCTACCCTAGATTCTGGACTAGTATAGTAGAAAGAGCCCTGGATATGAATTCCGGTTCTGCTCCTTGTTGTCAGGGCAACCTTGGGCAAGTCTCTCTGGCCTCAATTTCATCATCTGATTTTGGATTGATCTATAAAATGAGGGAAGTGCACTCAATGATTTATAAGGTCCCTTCCAGCTCTAAATCCTACAAAATGAACAAGGTAAAGTCTACATTGGGAAAGTTTAATCCTTCTCTGGTAGCTTGGGCAGGCATACTGCTCAGGTCGGAGCTATCCAAAAAGAAAATATTTTCACTAGCCCATGGCTGTTTATGTGACATGCTAATATGTTCCTTCCCAGGGCTGAAATTATTCTGCATTACGCATTTAGACCACTTAAAACTGTGTTCCCAGCATTGTCTTCAGAGTCAGACTCAGTCATGGAAAAATCTTTTCCCCTAATGAAACAAATACTCATGAGACATTTTCACTGTGGCTTAAAACCCCCTTCATTTAATACTTCCCTGCCACCCCATAGAGCTGCTAAGCCCTGACTGACATTAATGAACCTGAAAATTGGTTTGGCCAGATTTAGCCAATTTCCCATAAAAGGTTTGATTCAGTGCCTGCTTCTAACTTTAAGTCATTCATGATCATTTGGAAAGTAGAGACTCTCTTTAGCAGTGCTCTCATCAAGGTCATGTGTAGACTGGTATTCTGGCTGATACCCCAAAGCATGCTTTCTTTCTTCTTGTGTAAATAAACGAGAGGCAACCAAACCCTGGTTCTCTTGGTGTGAGAGTAACTTCATCAAGGAAATTCACATCTGGTCAGACTAGTAGGTCTCTTAGTGGTAGGTTAAACATTTATTCACTTGCTTAAGAAAATAAACAGAAGCAAATGTGAATTGCAGATTGCATCGTGCATAAGAGTCGCCAATGTTTGTCTATTTAAAATTAATGTCCTGGTTTGATCGAGTTTGTCTGGTATTTCCATAAGCATTTTCTACACACCTATGTAAATAAAATAAGAGCATATTTGCAGTTATCTTTAGATACATGCAAATTGTATGCCTTTTTTTTTCTTCCTGGGGAAAAAATTAATTCACTCTCAGTCAACTGTTGTCAGTATATTCAGAGTATGTGAATATATCAGTCAACCTAAGCACTGTAATACGACAACCAATCTGAAAGCACTGCATGAATGAATTTTAACCTATTGGAAAGGTTACATCAAAGTATGATCTTCTGGCATCCTGACTTACGTAAAATCCTTGAGAGAATAAGACTGGACCCAGGAGAAAGGAGTGATTTATGGGATGATCTTGCATGGTTTCTTTCCTAGCCTCCAGGCCAACTGGACTTTTTTTTTTTTTGCAACTGGACATTCAAAAACTATTTGATCATCATTTAGGTGTGATGGGATTATTGAAACTGGTATAGATAAGGAGTTTGGGGGCATTTACTCACCATTAAGCCAAATCTGGATCACAGATTCGGACAACAAAGAGTATATGTAAAACACTGTGCATACATTAAAGTGTTATCTCAACTTCACTTATTATGATTAATATTATTATTATACTCCCTCTGTACGGCAATCCATTTTTGGTCATGAATTCATGACACCCTTCTGGACTAAATCTCCTTGTGATACACGCTTCCTAAATTAGACTCTAGAAACTAATTGTCCAACAACTGTAACTTTGCTGTTGATGATAATAAAAATAATAATTACTATTATCATAATTATAGTAACTGATATTTATATAGCACTTTAAGGGTTACAAAGTATCTTACACATATTATCTCATTTTGTCCTAACAACAACCGTGGGAGGTAGATGCTATTATGATTCTCATTTTACAGATTAAAAAAAAAACTGAAGCCAAAAGAGGTTAAGTGTCTTGCCCAGGGTCACACCGCTGTAAGTGTCTGAGGTTAGATCAAACTCAGGTCTGACTGACTTGAGGACCAGTGCTCTATAGACTGTTTGCTACCTAGCAAACAGGACCTCTGAGGTCATAAAACCAAATTACCTCATTCTATAGATGTGTCAACTGCAGAGATAATGACTAGCCCAGAGTCTCACAGCCACTATGTACTCAAGGCAGATCTTGTTCCCAGGACAAGCTCTGAGTTCGTCCCAAACCCACCTCGTTTGATTTTGGCCTTGAGAGACGCTATCTCTATGTCACATTATCCCTCTCAACACATGATTTGACTCAGTTGAATAATCTAAAAATTATTGCATTATTCAATTGCACCAAAGCTGAGTAAGCTTTTTTCTACCAATATGATCAATAGAGGAGGTAAAAAGAATACTAAAAAGAACAAATTTGGGAAAAATGCCTTACTAGGGAACAGTCTTTCCCACATCCTTAGCATTTCATAACTTATTGAAAAATGAAGAAAATATTAAATAACATCATGTTTCTGGTTTGTTGATTTTTTGAAAGCATTTGATTTGATAAGCAAAATGTCATCTTATGGGTGCTTACAAAGTGTCTCCCATATACACATCAACATCAGGGGGATGGAATCTTATCAGATGTTTGCCACAGCAATGGAGGAGATCCACCACAGAGTCCAAATTGAGGAGGGATTTCCTGTGAATAGTGAGGTCTTTCACTTATTCCTGTTTGCAGATGACATTGTGCTGAGTACATCAAGACCCAGAACACTGCAGAGCTTCCCAGTAGGGATCTACTAACCCTCAAAGGATTTTGGTCTGACTGTCCACACAAGAGGACCACGTAGGTGCAGAATGTCTGTTGCCCAGATTTCAACATGTATTTGGATAGAGAACCTATAGAACTTATACATTAGTAAATATACCTAGCACAGACAGCACAGACGGGCAACAAATTGGGTCCAGATTTGAAGAGGAGGAGGAGAGTGGACTGGTTTGCCTTTGTCAAATAGCAAAGCTTCTTTGTTAACCCCAAACTTCCAGTGAAAGCAAAGGTCCATCTTTTTAATACCAACATTTTACCATTGTTGCTATATAGAGATTAGATACAGAATGTAGCTGTTTCTGAAGAATCAAAGATGTATGTATATCACAGAGAAGGCAATGGAGAGGGGCATGCAGGATGCATGAGACAAATTTCATGTAATCAAAATTATCCATTTTATTTCCTGTGATCCTCTCTATCTCTCTTTTGATCTTAATTCTTCCCTTATCCATAGATCTAATAACCAATTGAGGGTAAAGTATTATCTTTGTGATACGAGTAGACAGATACTAATGTAGTGAAAGCAAAGGATGACAGATGGCCAGAATGCCCACTGAAAAAATGTTAGGAGAAACTGAGAAAGGCCCTCAAGCACAATGGATAGATCCCTTGAGGCAAACTTATTGGAAGATGTGAACTAGAGTCACACAGAATGGGCAGGAACAAAGGTGTGAGAATCTGCTTTGTTAGAGGGAGCTTCAGAATCAATGAAATATTGAGATTCATTTGAGTATTTGATTGACTCACAAAGTACATAAACACTTTTTTAAAAAATAAAGTTTTCATTGATAACTTCATGACCCATTTTAAACTCAAGAATGTTAGCTTTCTTTGTAAAGCCAAGTTCCAAGAAAGAAAATTCATGTATTATTTTAATTTAGAGAGAGAGAACAGGTAATGCTGAATAGTGAGTTTTTCATCTTAAAAAAAAAGTATATAACCTCTAGAAATCTTCTAGACAATTGATTTAGTTTCTTTGCTTTGGATGTTAAATAAAAGTATTATTAAATAAACATGGAAGAATGGGTACAATTAGAAAGTGAAAATTAAATCAGGAGCAAACATTAAGCTCCGTGAGAATTTTCCACAATGCATTTTTGTTGCTCTTAATTGAAAAAACAAAAGCCCCAAGAATAAATGCAGTGTTGATTCTACTAAACCAATATAAACACACAAACCAGCATCTTCAAAAGTTCATGCAGAAGGAAACTTCTTGGCATGGTAGATAAAGCTGGTTTCCTAGTCAAGAAG